TAATAATTTACCAAATAAGTCAGTTGAGAATCTGTTCTCAATTATAATGACAACCTGGACCAGGTTTTCTAGCTGGACACAGGTTTTCTGCAGCTAATTGATCTAATTAATCACCAGTCAAACAGACTGGACAGTTTGGCTTGCCTTAATCCTGAAATAATGAGCAACTGAGCTTTGAATATGTTTCTTACTGTTTTGTTTTGTTTTTTACACAAGATTAGAACAAGTCTTTTTGCTGATCTGTACCAGTTCAGTTTACTATCCCTGATATCCAATAAATATATATATATTTTTTTGTTCTTTACACAATGTTGAATAATTTGGGCTTCAGGTGTCCAGCTCAACAAACCTGGTGTCCAGCTCAACAAACCTGCTTGATTTCTCCGATGCAGTTTCCACTGTGGCCACCATGTACTTTATGACATTATATGCAGCTACAACAAATTTCAAAGTATAGGTCATGGTCATTTTATATTTTAACTCCTGTGTGTGAATAGTGCATTTGTGAAACATAAAAGGGCAGAATACAAAAAAATAGCACCTACAATTTCAACTAACATTATACTAAGTATGTTGTCCTAGTGTTTTTGTATTCAAGCAATCTTTAAATATCTGTTCGTTAAGCTTTCACAGTCATTGATAAGAGATTTTTTTCAGTTTGTTAAAAGACTGAGGTTGGTATTTACCACATGGCAGCAGTTTTGTGCCCTGGGATTGCAGCAGCTCTCTGAAGGGCATAAAGGCTCCAGCTGTCAGCAGAAAACCTCCACATCTGTCAGTAAATATATTTGCTCAGAATTTGTTTACACATGTTGTCCAGAGTCAGAACAAGCTAAACAAACCTGGGTTCCATCATTGAACATACACCAATAGAGAAACTGCTAATTATAATGCAGATACATTGTTTTAACTTATTGTGTGTGTGCGCGCTAATAATATCTTTGGGTGAGGATGTGTGTAAGTTTTTGCTTATATGCCACACTTCTTATGATTCGGCGGAAGATAAAAGCTGAACACTATCTACATATTAGAGCACTGACATGCTTTTGCATCAGATGAGAGAAGATCTGAAATGGAATCTCCTTCTGTTCCACCTCACTGCTCACATCATCCATCCATTCATCAGAAATGCACAATGCCTTTCCTTCCCAACACCAAGCCATCTATCATTACATTCCCATGCTTTATGGAAATAAGAGATGCCGCATTCATGGGCATTTTACCTTCCATCCCATCCACCCATCTGTCTTTGACTATCCATCCATCCAAACACATGCATGTGTGCCCCCATCCAATCTAGTCACAGTGTAAGGTCGTTTATTAAAATTGATTTAAATGGATATGAGGCCTGTGCACGTGTGAGGAGATTTCACAGCCTGGCGGGTTGGCAAATACCAAAGCTGTTCCAGCTCACTGGACCTCAATCAGGGCCCACAAACAATTAATACACACCATAGGTGGTTGAGTTTGAATGTTTGACAGTATCTATCTATCTATCTACCCTTCCATCTATCCACCCTATCCTCAAATATACCCATTTACCCACCAATGTATCTACACATGCATCTATCTACTCACCTACCCATCCACCCATCCATCCATCCATCAATCCATACATTTAACCACCATCTAGTTGTCCATCTATCTACCAATCTAGCTAACCTATTACCAGCCATCTATTCATCTACTGTCCACCCATCCACCTGTCTACCAATTTACCCATCCATCTACCTACCTACCTGCCTACCCACTCACCTACCCATCCATCCATCCACATTTGGAAACTTAAAAAAGGGCAATGTGTGCATGAGTGTGTTCAAGAAGACCTAGGCAAWAAGAGAAAAAAGGAAGGTGCCCACATACAGATAGGTGATGATAAGCCGGCACTGCTGGCACAGCAAATGATTTTTTAAACAGGCAAGGTAGGGTAATGATGGCATGTTAAGATGGCATGCCACAACTGGCCCAGTTGTGCTTTGGTTTATGTGGTGCTGRCCCATGTATGGACCACCTCTGGTAAACCATATCTGGGCCACCAAAGGGACATCTTTCTTTGTGGTATCTGGGCCGAGTGTTTAGTGCATTGTGTGGACYAGAACTGGGCCAGACAATTGTTGCTGTGGCTGAGCTTGAATGGCTGAGAGGCTGAYAGGATAGGAAAATTATAACATTAAAATAAATAACAT